TTTTAAATTGGACTGAGTTACCACTGCTGCCTATATTTTTTTTGTTGAGAAATTTCTGAAAGTCAAGTGTTTACATACTGCCACTATACTTGATTAATTCTGAATAGCATTGTTATTTTTCTGTTTTAATCAAAGTAATAAAGCGGTGTAAGCAAACCAAGTTGGCACTTGGTGTAGTTGTTTCTTTGTAATTGTAAAATTGCAGAAAAACTAGATAACCCTATTCACCCCCCTCTAGGGTTATTTCCAGCTTCTTACTTACATTCTTGGTAGCCACTTGGATAACAATAATTATATATATATATATGGTAAAATCATTTTTGCAGCGATTTTACGTACAATAACTATAGGTGCATGATTATGATTCTCCACATTTAATGCATTCATCTTTTGTATGGTTATGATTCCTCGCATTTAATGTTTTCACATATATATATAGGGACATGTTATATTTACAAACTTTTTGTTTACAAACTCTTACAAACTACACTATCTTCTCCCGGGAGAACACTAATCACACTATCTTCTCCCGGGAGAACATAATGCAATTTGCATAAATTTATAAAAAAAAATTGTAAACAGATCATTCCCCATATATATATATATATAGACACACACACACAACCACGTCAACCTAAATTATAGTGTGCGTTCGATTATGGGGGTGTTTGGTAGAGGAGATATATATATATATATATATTTTATTGGGAATTTTTTTTTTGGAAATATGATGAGACATTTTTTACTCAGATAAGTTAAGAAAAGGTATTTGATAGGTCCAGAATTTTTTCAGAAATGTTGGGTTAATTATACTGATGTTATGGGGAAATAAAAATACCATGTTTCAGATAGTATTTTCATTTGGGATTCTCTATTAAAACTGAAATGATGGAAAAAAAGTTTCCTGAAAATATTTTCAGTTTTCTTATACCAAACATTGAAATTTTTTTGCCCCATCTCACTTTCTCAAAAATTTTTAAAAAATTTCCATACCAAACGTCCCTATAACATATGGGAAAAATATTTCTGCAGTTAATGCAGATAAAATATCTGCATTTATTCTCAAAACGACGTCGTTTTGGTATTGAAATCTTAAAAAATTATAAATATAAATACTATTATAACCTTGAAATAAATTAAAATTACAAAAACAACATGATTTTCACTCGAAAACGATGTCGTATTGGCTTACTGCAGATAACTGCATAAGCGAACCCATAACATATTTCCTAAATTTTCAAATTTCTAATAATATTAAATTATTTTTTGAATAATGTTGTTAAATTGTTATTGCTTTTTAATTGCTTATTCTAAGAAGAATTTGGGACATTGACCAATCTGACATCCCTTTAATAAAAATTTATCAGAATGCCACGTCTGAATTTTTTTTGCTAAAATGTCACGTCTCAATCTCGTTGATCTGACAAACGTGAATGGACTGAACACGTGACAACGTCTGAATGATCCATCATTCTAGCTGAGCAGTCCAGCGAGAATGACATAATGCTGACACGAGGCAAAAGTACAGACATCTTGTACTTTTGCAGAAAATGCCTGTACTTTTGCCACATGTCAGCATTCTGTCATTCTCGCTGAACTGCTCAGCTAAAATGGTTAACTATTCAGACACTACCATGTGTCCAATTCATTCTCGCTTGTCAGATCAGCGGAATTGTGACGTGACATTTTGACAAAAACTTTTTCTGGCGTGACAATTCGATAATTTTTTTTTCTAAAAGGTAGCAATATAGCCATTGTCCCGTAGAATTTATAAATAAATTAAATTACATAATTAAAAAATTCTATGCAATGTTGAGAATTTAAATTAATAAAAGATGTACTACTAAGAATGAAAACCTCGATACACGAACAATATTAATTTTATATTTATTATTTAAAAATTGTAAAGATGTATGACTAAAAAAAAAGAAAAGAACAAAAATTTCGACGCGTATATATTTTGGAAATGGATCCTTTTGCAAGCCGAGGGTATATTCGCATAAAAGGCTGTCAGGTTCCCGTTAAACTAAACATATAATTTGGTAATTTATAAGCTAAAAATATGTTAAATCTATTCAATATTTAATAATAGCATAACGTATTATGAGCTTTGTCTTGGAATAAAAGTAAAGTCAAATAGAAGTTAATGGGAACTTTTGTATGATATTTTATAGGAGTGGATCTAAAATATAATATATTGATGTGAAGAATTATAACCATATAAAGATATATTAATAGTGATAAAAGAAGAAAAAAATAAAATATAAAAATAAATAATTATAAAATCATTACATTGATTTATCTTTGTATAATTGTAATATTTTTACATAATCATATCATCATTTTTTTAACATGAGAAGATTCATTTTTATTATAGTAGATAATTTTCTGTTTTTCAAATTTTTTATGTAAAAAAATCTCACAGTTAAACTTGGACCTATTAAAAACATAATCACACATACGAAAAAAAAAACATAATCAAGATGTTGGCACTTCATACACACACATACGGAAGAGAAAAAAAAAAAAAAAAAAAAAAACTCGTACGAATAGTTCGATTTCTTGCGTATGTTTGGCAACTCAAATATCTCAATATTTTTGCATACAGAGTAAAGGCTTAAGGGAAATTGATTAATAAAAACTAAGCACGAGAGGCACGTTTAATTTACTAAAAAAAAAGAGATACTATGATATAAAAAATTATATTTTATTTATCTTTTAAAATAATATAACTATTGAATAAAAATTAATTCAAAAAACACAACAAAACTCTTTATATAGTTACCCATTAATTTTATGGGTACCATTGGTTTGATCAATGCACCCAACAAAAAGAATTTGCATAAGTTAATAATACACATACAAATAAAACAATTATATTTGATTGCCAATGGATAGAACAAAAAGAGTTATATTGTCAATATTTTAATAGTTATAAATGCTCAACATACTTACAAAATATTAATATAATATCTTTCATGCTTGATAAATAAGCCATAGAATTAAAAAAAATAAAGAATTAATTAAGAGATAGTTAATAGTTTCTCTTTCTTTATTGTTATATGAAAAAAATTTATATAACAATAAATTTGTATGTATATTAACTTATGCAATTTTTTGTTTTTGGGTGCATTGATCAAATTAGAGGTGTTCGCGATCTGGATTGGATCGGTTTTGGAAGCAAAACTCATCCGATCCAATACCTTCGGTTTGATTATGTAATCATCCATTCGGTTTAGATTTTTTTTTCAAATCCGATCCGATCCAATCCAATTTTTTTCGGTTTGGATTGGATCGGTTTTCGGTTTTTTAAAAATCCTAAAATAAGTTTCATGATTATTGTGCAAATAACATCTTTTGTATATATTGGCTTTGTAAAAAAAATAAAATTGAAATACAAAAATATCAGTAAACAATACCATAGTTGATGAGACGTGACTAAGTTTTTTTTTGGGTTTAGTTGATGAGTTAATGGGTCTTGAGTTTAGAAATTTTTGGGCTATGATTGGAGAAAGGACAAGTAGGTGGAGAATAATTAATATATTGGATCGGTTTGGATTGGATCGGTTTTCATCAACCCATCCGAAAACTGATCCAATCCAATTAAAATTTGCGATTTTCTTTCGGTTTCCAATTTTTCGATTTTCGGTTTATTCGGTTATCGGTTTTTCGGTTTGGTTTTCGCGGTTTGAATCGGTTTGGATCGGTTGATGAACACCCCTAGATCAAATCAACAAAGTGATCAATGTCTTATGCCCCTTTCCAATATTGAATTTGGTAGGGATCAAATTAAGGTCATTTTTTCATACTGCTCAATTTTATTGTACTAACTGAATAACCATCATTAAATAAATAAAGATATTTTGGTATGAATTGATTAAAATTAGAACTTCAAGAGTTATGATAAAAAAAGAAAGAAGGGAATAATGAGAGTTATAAAAGACAAAATAAATAAATATAAAAAGATAAATAGACAATCACCCAAAATAAAATAACCCAGAGATGGAATGAGTGGGAAAGGTTTTAATAGAGTTGTTACGGAATTCGGAGATACGACTTGGATTAATTAATTAGTTAATCGTCACATAAGACGACTCCCTGAAGGTAACAAATGGAACATCGAAAAGTGTCCCTACGTTCAATTTAACATCATCCCACTTACCCACGCGCATGATAAACACGCACACTCTCTCCCAACCCCATTTCTGTAAATTCGACTCAAAACAAGAGAGCAATCGCCGATTCACTAAGAGATATGATCCAACAAAAGAGCGAGTAACGAAGAGGTTCTCACTGGGCGTGTGAGGACTGAGGACTTCCCCTTCTCGTTGATAGCGTTTGACAATTTCAAAGCCACAAAAAAAAAGACATCCCCTAGGATGGAGCCACGTGCCACTGTGTCGTCCATGCGTTTCGTGGCCAGCCTTAAAGCACTCAAAAATATCTTTGCGGGTGGGTTTAATTTTAAACCTTAATATCTTTCTCCTAATGGGCCCCACGCAGCGCCAAATGTCTCGCACAAAAAATATCCTAATGCACACATGTATTTTGATATTTTGGATTTGGATGGAACTGAAAGTGAGAAGAGAGAACCAAAGCAAAAAATAAAAAAATAAAAATCAAGAAAGAAAAAAAGAGAGGGTGAAATAATATCCACCACCAGGTAGCACCAACCACGAGAACCCAATGGGTCTCATGCTTTAGATCTTTGGTCGAAAATCAGATCTGATTGATGACGTGGAATACGTGGGCCAGCTGCTTCCATGTCTCTAGATATTTTGTGCGACGAGGATATTTTCGACAGCCGTTGGATGAGAGGGGAGGTTTAACGTTGGTGTCTAATCCGACGCCGTAGGATTCATATACTGTTAAACTTAACGGAGAGTCATTCCTTTAAGATATTATTGCCTTTTTCTTTACTTGTGTTCCTTTTCACCCTCCAAATTTGGTTTTCGGGGCAAACGAGATATCAAGTTGTGTGCAGAGGTTTTGGTTCTACACAGCACCTGGGAGGGTTCTGATACTATAGTGTGTATTCTGGTACTTGGATTGATTCGTTTGTTGAAATATGGGGGAAGAGATGTTGTGTGGTGAGAAGCTAGTGATGGAAAGGCAGAGGGAGGAGGAGGAAGAGGAAGAGAGTGGAACAGGTAGCAGAGATGAATTGAGAGGGTTGATGAGGTGGGAGAAGTTCTTGCCGAAGATGGTTTTGAGAGTGCTCTTAGTTGAAGCAGATGACTCCACCAGACAGATTATAGCGGCGCTTCTTAGGAAATGCAACTACAAAGGTCCTTTACCTTCTTTTATTTCTCTTGAGTTCTTTCCTTTAAGTTTATTTATTTATTTTCATTCAGCTCGAGCTAGATATGGGGAATTGCTTGCTTCTTTTTTTGGTCAAGATTACAATTTTATTTTTTATTTTTTTCACTCTTTGGTTTTTTTTTCTAAAAACAATTTGTTGGTCTCTGCTCAATTTTTTCTTTTATGGCTTGTGTGCTCAATTGCCTACGTTCATAAAAGCATGTAGGTCTGATTTTTCTTCGGTTATACTTCCGATTTTCAGGGCTGAAACCGCTAATTTGATTTATCTTTTCTGAGGTCCGAGCCATTAAGAGTATTAACCGGACCCAAAGTTAAGGGGGACAAAAAAAGTTATTTGTAAATCAAAATCTTCGAACTGCAAATTTGAGTAAGGATTAAGGAGATTTTTTTGTAACATAAAGTGTACGGGCAGCCTCAAAGCTTACAAGGATTTTATATAAAAAAAATTTAGGGGGAAGAAAATAAAATTTGTGTGCATAAATCTGGGCCTTTTGTTTGAATATTTTTTTTCCTTATGAGAAAAAAAAAATATATCTATATTCTTACAGGGATGTGATGGGGAGGATTTAGGTTCAATGAAAGTCTAAGGAACTGATGGCACCTTTCAACTTGCTTTATTTATTTAGTAAAGGTCTTGGCAGTCTGTAAACAACAGGCTTAAGCCATAAACATGATACAATTATTTTCGATCTCTATTTCCCTTTAAGATTTTCTATTATCTACTATTTCTTCTTGTATGAAGCTTGTAATTTGAAAAACGTAAGTACTCAGAAACTAATTACATGCTCTTAGAACTTCAAAATAACTTTGCTTATCTTTTTTGTGCAGTGGCTTCTGTTCCTGATGGCTTGAAGGCATGGGAAATACTCAAGGGAAGACCTGGTGATATAGATCTGATACTGACAGAAGTGGATTTGCCATCCATATCTGGCTATGCACTTCTCACACTAATTATGGAGCATGAGATTTGCAAAAATATCCCTGTCATAAGTATGATATCAAAGATAAATCTTCTAGCAGTTACTGAAATTTCCCACTTTATTAATACTTTGATTAATGTTCTGCATTTTTTTTATTGCTTTTCCAGTGATGTCCTCACAAGATTCGGTTAGCACGGTATACAAATGCATGTTGAGAGGTGCTGCTGACTATCTTGTTAAGCCCCTTAGAAAAAATGAACTGAGGAATTTGTGGCAGCATGTTTGGAGGAGACAATCAGTAGGTCTTCTTGTCACTCATTTTTTCAGTTCTTTTTCCCTTTTCTTAAATACTCGGATGTTATTGACAACTAGTTGAAATTTTAATTTATTATTTATTTGCTCTGTCAGTCTAATACTGGCATAAATGGCCCACCTGATGAGAGTTTTGCACAGCACAAGATTGAAGCCACTGCTGAAAACAATGCTGCTAGTAATCGTTCAAGTGGTGATGCTGCTAGTAATCGTTCAAGTGGTGATGCTGCTTGCATTCAGAGGAATAAGGAATTGATCGAGAAAGGAAGTGATGCGCAGGTTAGTTTTCCAGATCTAGAAATTATTATTTTCTATATTATTGCAGTTATTTGAAGACATTTGTGACAAAGGACAAAGAACGGACATAGTTGAAGTAGATTTGGGATGTTGTCACCAACTAGTCAACTACCATAGCCATGGCCTTTATATGTAATCATTTTGTCATTTGTTTTCAATGTTGTAAATATTGGGTGTATGTTGTCATAGTACTGTAGTCCGACATAATTTATCTTTTCATTTCTTTTTGCTGGTTAATTCATTGCGAGTGAGAAGCTTTTTTTAAAGCTGCAACGATAATGTGATATTACATTCAGAACTGTCTCCAATGTTGATTCTTTTGCATGTTTATTGCCGTTCAGCTTGGAAATTCTATCATATTTATGTCTGAAATTGCCCACCAGTTTATTCTTGTGTAAATTTTCTTTTCAACTTCTTTGCAAGACTACCAAATCTTATCACCTTTAGTATGGTAATAGCCATCTAGAATCTAGATTGATCAAGTCTAAGTCAATGTACTCCAAATGCTTAATGTTTTCCATGGGATGTTTGCCTATTTTTATAAGCATCAAGCTAAAAGAAATCTGCATGTTTTCTGTCTGTTGCAGAGCTCTTGTACAAAACCTGACTTGGAAGATGAGAGTGGCCATGTCGATAAGGTTCATGAATTTTCTCCGTTGAAATGTAGTGAAGCATTTCCAAGTGGAGCAAAGGCACAAGAGGTTGAAACATGCATTCGTTTAGGACAGACATTAATCATGCATGACAGTCATGCTGGAGGTATATTTCTGTCCCTTACTGCAATAATCTCTTGTTGTTCTTGACAAGGAAGAATATCTAAAATTAGAGCAAACTATTATTTTTTAGGATTAAATGTGGGTATCTGCAAAAATGGTGAGACAAGCACAACTAATGGCAAGGACGCTGATCCTGAGCATTTTCGGAGTGCTAGCATCAGCAGTGAGGCTCATGACAATCACTGTGTTCAAATTAAGTCTTCTAAGGAAGCTATTGACTTGATTGGAGCATTTCATACTCGTGCAAACTGCAGTCTGAGAAATTCCTCAGTTGATTGCACAGGCATGTTTGACTTTTCTCCACAATTGGATCTTTCCCTCAGAGGATCTCATCCCAGCAACTTTGAGAATGAACTCACTGAAGAAAGGCACACCCTCATGCATTCGAATGCTTCAGCTTTCAAGCGGTAACTGCTAAAATCCCTTGTTATTCTTATTTTTTCCTTTCTATTTTAAAATTTTGATAGTTACTTCTAGTACTCATAAACTAGTAGAAATCAGTCCTTTGCTTGTAAATGGCTACACATCTTTCCTTATTTAATTAGTTTACTCTAAAGGAATTCAAGGGATGCAGTACCTTAAACAAATTAACGAGTGTGGATATATCAAACCTCCCATCTAAATTATGTAGTACAGGATTTTGAGTTTTGTTATAAATACCAGGTGAAATATATTAAAAAATGGTAAATATTGAGTGATCATTTTGAGGAACTTCAAAAGATTAAATAATTCTTGGAAATATAAAATGAAAAGTTTTAATAACTAAAGTTACATAGTTTGATTTGTTTCTTCCTTAGATAAGGGGGAAGAAGCTAATAAGTTTATGAATTTCTTCATGTGGCCTCTAAATACTTTCCTGCCCTGTTGAATTTCTTGTGTGTGTTTATTACTGAAATTGAGTTTCGTGCAGGTATACTAACAGGAAATTGCAAGCCTCACCTGCAGTGCTAGTTGACTTCTCCAATCAACAAAGAGAACAGAGAACAAATGGAGAGAAAAGTATCTCCTATATTGCTACTGGCTGCAACTCAGACAATTCCACACCTAGTATGCAAAGATGTATTATGTCTCCAGCTACAGCCCAATCAAAAGAATCTGAATTCGCAACCTCACACTCACAGCAAGGGCATTCTCTCCCAATTCCAGTAAAAGGTGTAAGGTTCAATGATCTATGCACACCCTATGGTTCTGTACTTCCTCCAATGTTCCAAACACAGTCTGGTCCCCCATCAATGCCAAGTCCAAGTTCAGTTGTGCTCCTTCAACCAACCTTTCAAGTAAATGCATTTTATCAGTCAAATACTAAAGAAAACGGTTCAGAGCAGCTTTATGAACCTCGTGGTCAAAATGGAAACAGCGCCCCAAACCACATTGTGTACACCCAGGAACTCAGACAAGAACATGCAGAGGATCGTGGACATATCTCACCTGCAACTGATCAAAGTGTATCCAGTAGTTTCTGTAATGGAAATGCAAGCCAACTTAACAGCATAGGTTATGGAAGCAATTGTGGAAGTAGCAGCAATGTTGATCAAGTTGCAATTGTGAGGGCAGCTTCAGAGGGTAAGAATGAAGACCTCACAACCAATGGAAATTCTCATAGATCAATCCAAAGGGAAGCAGCTCTAAACAAGTTCCGCTTGAAACGCAAAGAAAGATGTTATGAGAAAAAGGTTCATATCACTATATAAGCAAATCTGCATAACCTTTTATTAGCATGACTATCATTGTTTCGAAAAGAATTTTTCTTCTTCTTGTGCTTACTTTTTGTTATGCTTGTTAATAGGTTCGATACGAGAGCAGAAAGAAACTAGCTGAGCAGCGTCCAAGGATAAAAGGACAATTTGTGCGTCAAGTGCCATCTTAATCCTCTTGCTGCAGAAAAAGATGACAAAGAATATGATCATTAGCATATCTGACTCACCGGATAGGAGAGCATGAATTGTTAGTTTAGTTACTTCAAAATTTTGTTTTCCTGAATCCTTGAATACCAGAACCACTTGATCTGTACATGCTTTCTAAAACCATTTTTTCTCATTTGCCTTTCATCTAGATCGTGATATATAATATACTTAATGTAATATATCATTGTAATTTTATACAGTTTAATAGAGATCTTCGTGCCTCATTATTTATTTATTTATTCAAGGAATTGCTTATTTATAAGGACTCCTATGTAAAATATGATTTTTATCAATTTAATCGTTGGCTTATAATTATTTATTATCCGTTTGTTTGTGTCAAATTTTATAAAGATTGAACAGCAATAAAAATATAATTAGATGATTTTATTTTCATATTTTTTAAAGGTATGTCATGTTAAATATTAATAAAATATTAAATAATTTTATATGATACAAAATTTCAATTCTCTGAAATAAAATTATTTAATAGTGTAAGAATAATTTTAGTTTACTATAATGTAAGTTAATTTTTTCTCAAATTTCTCTGGTTTGTTCTAAATTTGTATCTTTCTAAAATTTATTTTCAGTTTCCGTAAAAGTGATCACTGATTTCTCAAGCAAACTTTTCTTGAAGAGTGCATTAGAAATAATTTCCCCAAAAAGGAGAATTGAAAAATGGGAAGAAAAGCAACTTCCATTTTCCCTTGGAAGCTGCATCATATCAGAACACCGTCTACCTTTTAAATTATTTCGAAGTTTGTGATGAAGATGAGATATTAATTTGTTTTAAAGAAAATTATGTTTATTTATTCTGAAATCGACTTCGTTGTTGGAATGGAAAATAATATTTTATCGAAAAAATCGCAAATCATGCTTTCTCTTATTTATTGAGTAAATATTTTTTTTGGTCCTCAGCAAATTTCACGATGCCCACTTTAGTCCCTAGCGAATAAAAAGGTTCATCCTGTTCTCTAAGAAATTTAAAATGGATCCATTTTAGTTCTTTCGAGGGACTAATATGGGTCTTTTTTGAATTTGTGAAGGATCACGATTTCAACTAAACGGGTCCATTTTGAATTTTTTAAGGACCACAATGGGAAATATCATGTCTCCTAAAAATTTTTGCTCATGCCCACTTCTTTTCAGGTTCTAAATATTTTGCATAGTTTTATTGGTCCTCAGCAAATTTCACGATGCCCACAATTTGGATTCTCTCCTGTGTGAAAAAATGATCAAGTGATCATGTTATTTGATCGTAACCATTCATTAATAATCATATATTTTTCTCTCTCTTATCTCATCATCAGTGAGTGAAAATGAATTATGATCAAATAACATGACCAATTTTTCACACGGGAGAGAATCCAAATCCGGGTTTCACACGTGTATGTTTCAGCAGGAATTTTTTTTTTTTTTTTGGTAATCTGTTTTTCTTTTTTTACAACATGTAGTCTTTAATAAAATAAAAACTAAAATAGATAGATTTAGTATCTTCTTTCCGAATTAATAGCTTTTGAAAAGAAGTTTTTTTTTGAAAAAGAGATATTATCTTTCTTTCTTTCTTTTTTCAAAATTTATTCAAACACCACAGAAGTATAAGAAAAAGCCAGGAGCTTAAAAACAATGCCTTTTTCTGCATTTCACGTGCAAATATCACAGTTTTGAATTATCTTATCGCCTAAAATATTGAATTGCGTAGTTGAATATTATGGACTCATACTTAAGTTTGTTGATAAAATTTAGAAATGTAGGCAGAATACATACTTCAGATATGGACAAATGCAAGGAGCCATATACATCCAAATAATCCAATTAAGGGACCCATGGTATTATTATGGTAATAATAATGACAAAAGTTGTCTACAGTCTAAAGTCTAAACAAGTGAGTCCCCCACCCTCCCCTTTTTCTTGCTTGTACTTCCCAACAACCAAAGGTTGAAGCTTCTTTACTTTACTTATGCTTCGCCGATACATTTAGCTTATTTGGTTGGTTTCTTAGGTTTACTTGATTGCTAGAGATCCTAACCCAGTACAGAGTGATTCAAAGAACCAAAGTAATAAGATATGCGAAAGTTGTATTTTATCGCTCAATAAAACTATGCAAAATATCATTTGCCCCTTCAATAGTTTCAACAAATTGGGAGTCTTTATGGTCCATGAACATAACTAAAAGAAATTGAAAAACAAAGCTGAGAAGAGGAGAAACCACTAAGTTATGGGGTCATCAACTTTCTCTTGATTGAAGGGCTCAATAATCAACAATATCTGAAAAAAGGAACTTTTAATATCAAACGTCTCTGTGCTATCTAAACTCCTAACCAAAAGGGTGCCATATTGTCAAATGACCAAAAATTAAAGTAATCAAATTGTCCACCATCACCATGTATTTATATGCATAATGAACACCTCATGGTGTAATCCTGTGCACAATTGATTAATTATTTGTCTACTCAACTGCTTAATAGTTTCTAAAGACTTTGAAGGCCATTCATATTATTAATCTGACTATGGAAACTGAGGTTGAGCCCTCAAAAAGGATACTAACATACTTCTATAAATAATGCTAACCAAAAAATTATAAATAGTGCTCAAAACCCTCTCCCTCCCTCAACTCATAAATAATGCTCAAACCTAAAGTCTCAGTTCTCATACCTAAAGTCTAGTATAAATTTGAAAATAGTGCACTTTTTAAATCCTCTCTCACCCTTAACTTAAAAGGCTAGGCTAAAACACATTTAAGGCCAAGAAATCATCACACAACAATAATTTCCACGAGGGTTCCAAAAAGCCATATCACAGATTCTGCATGTTCCCTCCTTTTTCTGCTCACCCTGTCGTTTTATTATGAAATGAAACTGCACAATTAAAATTAGAAACTCACAACCACTAGTCTCAAAACTCTCATTAGTTTCACCGAACAAAACATCACACTACGCGACAAGGGAAATATATCATCTTACGTAAAATGTTTATTTCACAAGTTGATATGAAAATATGGGAAATGATTCGTTTACAATTTTTTTTTACAAATTATATTAAATATAACCGGTTATACACTCTTGATTGAAGTATGACCGGTCATATACTTAGAGTAATTTGTAAACAAAAAATTTGTAAATATAACCTTCTCCATAAAATATTGGAAAAACTTCAAAAAAATCTTTATAACTTTTCTCAAAATCACTTACTTTTTCTCTGAAATTTTAATTATTTATTCTTTTAATTTAAAGTTTTTTTATCACTTAATCTCTTAATAACTTAATTTTTTTATCATTTATCTCCTAAATTAGGGAGATAAGTGATAAAAAATAAGTGATAAAGAAACTTTAAGTAATGGTTAAATGATTCAAAATTTTAAACAAGTGATAAGTGATTTTAGAGAAAATTTGCGGGTTTTTTTTTTTTTTTTTTTTTTTTTTTTAAGTTTACCTATTAATAATGGGGCACAAGGGAGAAGAGTATGCCACTAGGCCATCTGCACGTACCATATCATATCTCCAAATCAATCATGAACAAAGGCTATTTACGCTATCTCCTCTACGGCTCTTTTAAATGCGTTGCTTTTGCTTTTCTTTCCTAATCTCACCGTATCCTCTTCCTTCAATCATCGTGGCAGGTATCAGATTGTATATACTATCATTTAAATTTGCAAAGCCCAAAATATCATTATCAGAGAGAGGTGTCACAGGCGTCCAATATAAATATATAATTGATATTCTGATGTGGGGACCCGTTGTGTATGGCAGAACTGAGGACCTTGGACCCACTGCATTATGGGTGTACCTTCAATGCCACGTGTCTCACTTATGTGATTACAGCTGGTAATCACCATCGGTTACATTACATGCACTTCATGCGGCTGATTGGTTTCGTCTTTACCGTGTTATGGCATGTTTCTTTTAGTCTTTATATCACAAATCTTTTCAATGTCTAACAAGGGAACAATATAATACAAAATAACAACTTCAAGATACCTTTGTTTACTTGGAAATTTTGTTGGTCATGTTCCCCGAAGACTTATAACACTTTCAATTTAATGCTAATTCAAGTATCACCATTCTATTGAACTCTTGTATGTATGTAAGTTGTTAAATATATATCACCATTCTTTCAATTCAATTTTCACTTTAAATGATCAAACAGAGTTTTGTGTGAAATAGATTTATTTTATTTTATTTATTTTCATTTTCAGTGCGCACCCAATTGCACCCAAAAGAACAAGTTGGACTGGGGACAGGTATTGTCCCAAATTTGGTTCTTAGCGTTATATGGCAGTCTCAATCATTACATTGTGCGGAAATTTGAAAGTGACCAAAAGGGTTTTGTGGCCTAGAGAAAAGGAGTATTGTGAAAACAACCGCAAATTACCTATTACATTAACTTAACACAGCCAGGTTAGTTTCTAGGCTTTCTACTGTTCGTGTGTGAACTTTTTGCTGTTGTTAGCCTTTGAACTATGATCGTATAACGTGCCAATTTGTTTCCAGGGGAAAAGTCTAAAGCTAGTCCTTCTTAAACTTTGCTCCGTAATTCCTTGCAAAAAAGAAGAACAAACATTTGGTTGAGAAAGTGGTAAAGAAGGGTGCAGTTTCAACTCCATCCAACTACCCGTAAACCAAATTACACGTTTAGAAATTAAAATCATTCTACGTGCCCCCAAGTCCACACCTTAAAGGGGCGTTTTCCCTTTTTTTTTTTTTTTTTAGTAGGTCTATGAGTTTTATAAGAGTTATGTTGTAGGAAAAATAATTGTGTTATGTTATAGAGATTCGTTTTGGCGTGCCGTAATATTTTTTTTCTTCAAAACATGCGGGTCTCACAAAATATTACGTGTGTAGGAAACTTTGTGTGGTCATGTTAAATAATAAATGCAAATCCCTAGGTTTATTTATTATTTGCATATTATATTCTTTCACTCATTTTACACCTTTTTTGTTGAAAAAAAAATTAAAATATAAAAACTGAGTAAAGAATATGTGTTTTCTTGTTTAATTATTAAAAAAATAGTATAAAAATTATATGTTTATTATTCAAAGAAAAAGAAGGTGAAAAAGCGTATGCCTCAGAAGCTTGAATTTTTGCAAATTTTCAGATAATTTTACAGTTTAACTAACCCATACAAATGAGATGCGTGTCGTCTGTGGCATTATAGGATGTCCTTATATATCAAGCGATTTTCCGGAACATTACAACTTTAATTGCTTATAATATATAATAATCTCCACGATGAGGAGCTTAGAGCTACTAGTCAAAAGCATGCTTTAGAGCAAAATAATTGTCGCTTTTTGCTCTCTTTATAATCCACCCCACCCCCCCTTTCCTTAACGTTGTAAACATCCCTCCTTTCAAGTTTCAACTATCTCTCTCTCTCTCTATCTATTGAAAATGTCTCAAATCACAATAAAATCTCCAAAACACTGTGCTAGCAAGCAAGCATTGAAAATAGACAGGAACTACAGGAAACTGTTCTTTGGTTTATCAGCATTTTTCACCTCTATCCTATCACTGATACTTCTTATATGGTTCATCCTACACCCTGCCAAGCCTCAATTCTCCCTCATAGAAGCTGATATCTACCAGCTGAACCTATCAGGACCAAACCTCAACTCCTCCATCCAACTCACTCTGCTCTCCAAGAACCCAAACCAGAAAGTTGGCATTTACTACGATGAGTTTCAAGCTTATGCAACCTACAAGGGCCAACAGATAACCGGTGATACCTCTGTGCCTCCCTTTTACCAAGGCCAAGAAGAGAGTAATCTTTTAACATCATCTTTAGTAGGAAATGGTTTACCCGTTGCTCCCTCTCTTGGTTATGAAGTGGGTCGTGATCAAATTACTGGAAGACTAGTTTTGAACCTCAAAGTTAATGGAAAGCTTCGTTGGAAGGTGGGAACTTGGGTCTCTGGACGTTACAGGTTCAATGTTAATTGTGTTTCTATCATGGCCTTTGGACCCTCTATACCCCAAGGTCCTCTGATTTCAAAGCAGGGGGCTCAGTGTTCTACCACAATTTGAACTACTATATTGCTAACTTCAATATAATCCAATATTCATATCATAGCGTGTTCTTCAAGTTTTATTATTTTCAGCAGCTTTTGGTTGGCTTTTGTATTTAAATGTATTTTGAAGCCACTTAGTGAATTGTAAATAAAATATATGAATGATAGGACCAAAAGTTATATTTTGTGAGTGAGAATGAAAAAGGATGCATATTAGATGGTTAATCTTATCTTTTTTTGCTTTTAGCTTCATTTCTCTCTCTCTCTCTCTTCTTTCACTCACTATCTATCTAAATTGGTTTTGCTATGCATGTGATGATAGAGCGCATGGAGAAGGGGGTAAAATGGAAAGGAGTGGATGGATGGATGGATTTCATGGTCTTTCTTTATTAGCTTTTGGGAGTGGATGCATGAGTAGATTTTGGGTCACCTTTGTTTCTTTGGTTATTTTGTGGATACGAAGAAAACAAAAGAAAATTGTTTGAAGAATATGTAGACGAGATTCCGAGAAGAGAGAAAGAGAGAAAGAAAAGAGAGGGAAATTGGTAGCTTTCTTGGGAGAATCTGCAGATTTTACATGTCAATTCCTTACCTTTAAGAATTATAAAATGGTATTCTTTTATCAAACTTTTGGTAACCACGAACCAGCTTACATTTTTCTTTTCTTTTTTGAGCAGTACACAAGGGATGAGACTGGCCATGCATGTCTCAAACGAAATATACCAGGGGATGCTTATAGTGTGAACTAGGAAGTGGATAGTTAAAACACTTTCTCTTTTGATTTTCAGCATTTTGTCTAAAAGTTACACACAGCATTGGTTAGACAAGAGTTACTTCATCTATGCCAGCATTACATATGCTAAAGCTGCCAGTTGAAGAACTTAACCCTCTCATATTTGTGATTTGTCCCATTAATAGATGTTATACAATTAAGTCAAGAGGTTTGGGTGGTCGTTGTATATTTATGTATTTATTTGTTGTTTAGAGTTTAAGTTAAAATAATACCTTAAAAAACATAAAGTCGAAAGTATTTGGTGATTATATGATTTTTTTAGAGTAAAAGCTACTTTTGAATTCTTGTCCCACTCTTGCTGCTTCATTCCCTGATTCGGTATTTTCGGTACAACATAAGTAAGTGCTCTCTTATCAAATAAAAAAAAAATATGAAAGGAAATAATCATAAAAATAAGGATAAAATAAATATATTATTTATATTTAATAAAATATGGTTGATTTTCTTGGAAGGTTAGGCAATTAAGAGTGTGATAAATTTTTTTCCAAAGGAGCCGAATTAGATTTATATATATATTTTTAATTGATTTAAGAATCCAATCACTTTATATAATACCGATTCAAAAATAAATCGAATCAATTTGTTTGAACCGATTCGAGAATAAAAAAGACTCAAACCGGTTTGTTTCTTTAACTATTAGTATTTTAATTGTTTGCCTTAAAATTAGTTTAGAGCTAATTCAAAATAAAAACCAATTTTAATTTTTAAACCAAAATTGGTACATATAAAAGCAAAACGGTTTCGTTTGATAAACCAAACCACTAAAACTGGTTCAGTTTCTCGAACCAAGCCACTGTTATCCATTCGATTCAATTCGGCATCAAAAACTGAACCAAATCGAACCACTCCTCTCTCGGAAACAATGACGTCACTGCCTCACTGGTCAAGAATAACTTGTGCATCGTCAATTCCACTGTCACCCTCATTGTCAAATGAACACCCGGGTCCCTAGCATATGCGGGTTCCTTATTCCCTTCGCCTTCACGGGAAGAATTGGGAGAGAGCGTGGGGTGTGTTGGGCTTCCTCCTTCAATGCTAAGCCCAAGTCTATTTGAGGGGTTTCCTAAAAATCTTAACCCTAGTTTCCACTTCCTTTATATATACTCATTAGTTGTGGGTGGAGGCTAGGTCATATGAGAGAATTCTAATTTGACAGATATTTGAGAGAAAATTGTTAGAGCAAAGCTTTATGCCTTGCATTTGAGAGATCTCTAGAGAGAGTTTGAGTGAAACATCTCTAGGGTAGTTTGATTATCACCATTGTTGGAGAGGTTGAGTTAACCACCACATTGGTGATTCTGATTATTTGTAACCATTGTTTTCATAATGGATTTCTGATCTGGACTAGGTCCCGTGGGTTTTTATTTCTTCATTGAAGAAGGTTTTCTCACGTTAAATCTTGTTGTGTTCTTCTTCTCTCTACTGTTTTGTGATTTTTCGTTTTGATATTTCCGCTGCGCTACCCAACCTAGTGAAGTTCAGGCCGAGGTATTGCCGAGATCCGAGATCAGGATCTTGTTGATTGACTTTCGAACAAAGACCCCTGAGCCGATATGAGGGAACCGAGTTCCCAACATGGTGTTCAGGGGAGAGGAGGAAAAAGTGAAGGACTGAATTACAAGAAGGTTTTGTTGAGAGGTTTGAGAAATAGCATCGTGGAAGGTGCGGGAGAAGTAGTGAACAAGGTTGACTCATAAGCCTAAAAGAAATTAAGAAGGAGCTTCTCATAAGAAGCTGATAGGTTCCTTTTTAGCAAAAATGATAAGCTTTTGGAAAAGAGAAAAATAAATTAAATGATGCAATTTTCTGATATCTTTTCATTCATAATGAGTCTTTAAATAAAGATTATAAATGAAGCATAAACAGTAAAAACATAATGGAAAGTAACTACCCAAGTAAACATAATGGAAAGTAACTATCCATTTAAACAATATGGAGAATAACTACCCAACTAAACAATACAGAAAACATGGAGATGCGGTTACATATTCATGGGATCATGGGTTTGTATCATTCCCCTCTCCATCAAGATGAACCTTGTCCCCAAAGTTCTTGATGTGCCCAAGATTGGAGAAGGTCATTTGATGTTGGGTCAGGTTGATTATCGTCAAGGAGTAAAAGAGTGGAAAAGTTTTTGCACTTATGGCCACGGGAGAAATGTTCTTCGCAATTAAAACAGAGCCCTTGTTCTCGTCTGACTTTCATTTCTTCTGCGGTTAATCGTCGAACACCTGGTGGGGGATTTGATGGTGAAGTGGATACAAATGAGAGGTCAAAGAGTTTATCTTCTTGGAGTTTGGCGAGACCATGGGTTTGAAAGATCGTTGTTGGTTGGAGAGCTTGTACCTCTTTTCGGATTGTTGGTTTAAGACCAGAGATAAAGTTGTGAAGTAGGAACTCTGATGGGAGGTTGGAAATGCGATTTGCTAAGGACTCATATATAGTGATGTAGGCTTGAACAGTAGTCGTTTGTTGGAGTTTTGCAAGTGATCCCATGTGATCAGCGTAGGGAGAATCACCAAAACGGGCTTCAAGTGCCATAATGAAGTCGTGCCAGTCGTGGAAGGGGTGGTTGGAGTGCATCCACTGGAACCAAGCAAGGGCTGGTCCGTCCACGTGAAACGAGGCAATCTGGAGTTTTTGTTGTTGTGGAGTATGATGAAAGTCGAAGAACTGTGTAGCTTTGAAGAGCCAGCCGGAAGGATTTGTTCCATCAAAGCGTGGGAAGTCAAGTTTGAAGGGTCTAGGTTGAAGGACAGGTGGGAAATGTGGAGGTGGTGGTGGCGGCGGCGGCAGAGGTGGAGGTGGAGTTGGTTTATTGGTGGTTGGGGTGATATGCATGAATTGATCAATACGGCCTATTAAAGTGGTAAGGGTAGTCTAAACCTCATTAAGGCAGTGGACGGTCTAATTGGATTGTTTAGTAAGGTCGAAAATTTGTGTGGAAGTTTTGGTGGATGTTTCACGAAGTTGGTTGAATTGGGAAAGAGCTTGGGTAGAGTTTTCGAAAAGTTTGTTGATTTGTGTGGCATGGATTTCTTGGGTTTCTTCAAGTTTTCTGAAGCGTGTTCCTTCAGCCATTAATGAGGAGAGTGAACGCAAAGAGCACCAAATGATAGGTTCCTTTTTAGCAAAAAGGATAAGCTTAAGGAAAAGAGAAAAATAAATTAAATGATGCAATTTTCTGATATCTTTTCATTCATAATGAGTCTTTAAATAAAGATTACAACTGAAGCATAAACAGTAAAAACATAATGGAAAGTAACTACCCATTTAAACAATATGGAGAATAACTACCCAACTAAACAATACAGAAAACATGGAGATGCAGTTACATATTCATGGGATCATGGGTTTGTATCAGAAGCCTATTTTCTTGTTTTTCTTCATTAAAATAATTACTTTCCCTTTTAAGAGCTAATGTGTTTGGCAGGGTTTCTCTTTGAAAGAGACAATAAATAAAAAAACAACTCGAGCCAAAAGGGCATTAATATAAAACCTTCCACCATTAATTCGATAATTATGGTATATCAACCTATTAGGGATTATAACCCTATACCGTTAATTCATTAATTACTCATATCAATCATGATAAGGAAAGTAATCTCTCAATAATGACAATGGATGTTTCATCATTGCCTTAAATGCTCCATCAATAGTCTCCTTCAATTGCTCAATCATGCATTAATGAAATAATACGGGTGAGGGACGCACCCAACAAACAAGAGAATACCATAGGGTGTCCGTAGAGATACCACTATTAATAGAGTGAGCGATAGTCTACTACAATAAATTATTTTAATTCAAAATCGTAAATATTGAGTTCATGGGTAATTTTACTTATATGATACTCATTTAGTTTATTCTTAACTAATATGAAACTTTTAATCACAATTAAATTCTTAAAAATAACCTTTTCAAATTAAAAAACCATAAATTTGTAACTAAGAATCCTGACTACAAGAACTGGTATTAAAGTGAAAGTGGCAATTACACAAAGCAACTTGACAATTGCAAGCAATTACCCCAGCATCCCATTGGAGCGTATGTATATTAATAACAACATCGCCTTTATTACAAATCATTAGGAGTTAGCATTCAGTGAACTTGTATAAGAGTAAGAACATATTAAGAAAATAATAACAATAATTGAATGAATGACAAAAACCATACAAAATTTATTTTAATTTTTTAAAATTTTAAGAGAATGGATGAATGTATACAAAGCAATTCAAGTTAATAGTTTCCGATTTCAATAGGTGTAATCAGGATGTGATATGAATGCAAATGCTAGTTTTCAAACAGAGGAAGCCCTCTTCCACATTGTGTAGAAACAAACATTATGGCAAATACTTGTCCACACATAAGATCTTTGACAAACAGAGGTCAACCAATAGGAAACCTACTTCAACAGAAATTCTGCATAAAATTAACTTTAACCTCGTCTACCCTGAGAAATTAAAAGTCTCCAAGTAACATTATTTAAATAAAAGGCGTTGGATGTGACACAAGATACCCCATTGTCAGGCTTC